CAGTCAGGGGTGTTTGTGTTTCTTAAGGTAGAATCATGTTTCTTCATTGCCAAAAGGTTCATGTTCTCGGGATGAATTTTGTTGTCAGCCTGTTCTTGTTTTCTCTATGTAGAATGTTCTTGAATTTCCCTGAAAAACAAACTGAGGATTTTTAGATGTTTTGTGTTCCCTAGGTTGCCCTTTCTTAAGTGGGCTGAGAATCAGTTCGGTCCCCATTTTGGCTGCTGATTCTCTTTATAGGTCCTGTGATTCTGGGTTGTCTGCTTACATGTGAATGTTGACATCTAAACTGTAATGTTTCAGTAGCTGGTGTGGGCTGGCAGAGGTGTATAAACCGCCATCTCCACCTCCCACTCCTGCAGTGAGGATGGGGCCTCTCCCCCAGACAGGGGTAGCTTACAAGTGGCCCCCCCCCTGTAGTGTGGGGGTCAGGGGTGGATTTCTCCCCAGGTACAGTGGGTAAGGCTGGTTCAGCCAGCAAGGAGGCAGGATTCCCGACCCATGAGCATGGCAAATGGCTGAAAAAATATGACCTGATTGCTTAAGAATCATACACACACAATTCACATTGTTTTACAAGTTACCAGTAGTTACTAGAAAAACTCAACTTGTGTTTTCTAAACAAAACCTCTGTGACAGAAATATCCCACAACTTTCCCCAGTAATAAATCACTCTATCCTTTGACCCTGAGGGGATTCGGACACATGTTGGAGAGCAGCACCAGAGTTGCTCTTAAACAGGAACCATTGGCATTTGATCACCAGGTCTCTGGAATCCATTCTTTTAGCCCACCTTCCTACTGTGTGACAGACCCTCTGATAGGTCATAGGGTTTAAATATGAGCAGATACAGCCCTTGCCCTCCGTGAAGCCATAATCCAGTGAAGGAACCAGATCTGCAATTAACAGCCAAGGCTGCAGAGTGCCCTGAGGAAACCCATTCACCGCTGTGAGTCACTGCTTTGATGGTTCACCTTTATCACATTGCCCTCTTGCTTACATCCTCCCTTGCCAGTATACCTGGCTGGTGTGTGCTCAGTCAGTTTAAAAGGGCAGAAGGAAGAAGGAAGGCAGTCACAAAGGTGACTGATCTCAGAAAAGGCCATCTGCCAAGCCTGCATCTACTGGGGAAGGCAGCTTCCAAGTGGGTGTCAACACAGGCTGACATAAGGAAGGAGAAAGGGCATGGAGGGGGAGGAGCAGACAGAGGCAATATCAAGTCTGCCGTGTTTCAGGAACTGCAAGTCAAGGTGGAAATGAAGGCAGGAGCTGTAAGAGAGGGCTGGGGTCAGACAACATGAGCTCGGAGGAGTCAGAACCCTATCCAACAATTTCCAGGACATAGAATGTTCTCAGCTTGCTCCTTTCTCATGCGGCCTACTCTTGTTTTTACCAGTGAATGTCCTACAGGACACCTATGTGTGGGACCCAGCAGGGACTCTGTTGGAAACCCACTGGTGGGTGTAAAGGCAGAGAGTGGAAAGGTCAGGTCCTCTCTGCACTGTGCTGCTGTGATTGAAGTGAGTGTGGGAACAGGGAGACCAGTGTTTGCTTCTTTGGCTTCATGCTTATTTATATTTTACTTCATTCCATTAAGAATTTGAGGAGATTTCCTACCATGCTGTTGGGTATGTGCCCAACAGAAACTGAAGCAAAGAATCTGGACCAGCCCAGGCTGGTATAGTTCAGTGGGTTGAGCACAGGCCTGTGAACTGAAAGGTCACAGGTTTGATTCCCAGTCAGGGCACATGCCTGGGTGGTGGGCCAGATCCTCAGTTTGGGGGTACGTGAGAGGCAACCAATTGATATTTCTCTCCCTCTCTTTCTCCCTCCTTTCTCCTCTCTCTCTAAAAAATAAATAAATAAATAAAATATTTTAAAAAAATAATCTGGACCAGGAAGAAGGAAGCCCCGTGGGAGACTGAGGCCATGGTGCAGGGGTGGGGGGTGAGGCCTATGAGAGTGTGGGGATGAAGGGGTGGGAAGAAGGTCAAGGCCTGTCTGACCTACAGGTCAAGGTGACTTCCAGCTTTCCCAGCATGTGTGATGGAGACACTGTCCAAAAGTGATATGGGTCTTGGAGGCCGGTGGAGCTGAGACCCAGGTGTGGGTATCATATCCCAAAGCTCGACCAGATGGGGCAGAGAAGTTAATCCAGAACCACCAAAGTTTATAGACAGAAAGAGCTTGAATTATAGTTGAATGGAGAAAACAAAAGGCTGATTAATAAAGTTTGAAAGGTGTGATGAGATCATAAACTGAGGAAAGTGTTCCCAAGACCAGAGGCAGGAATAATGGGCAGCAGGTCAGGGAGAGGCACGCCAGGCAGGCCAGGGGAGGGTCCTAGGGCAGAGGTGGACATCATGCAGTGGCAAAGCTCGTGGCAAGGAATGGGAGGGCTGCTGGTTGAAGAAGGAATGGAAAAGACAGATCCTGATGGGCCCTCTTCAGGCCAGGGCTGGGGGAAGAAAGCCAGGTACCAAGGGTGCCAACTCTGAGGAGCTTGCTTGCCCTCCTGAAAGTCTGCATCCTAGGTGTCTGGTTGGCCTCCTCATCCTGGCTGCTGCCCGGACTTAGGGCACAGTCGAATGATGCATTTCCAAGTCTTTCTGTGAATTCATCTGCAGTACTTGGTTCAGAGCCAGGAGCAACTGCTTTTCCTTTCATGGGGTGGGGGATGAGGGAGCTTGAAGGTAGATTTGGTTGAATAATATGTGGGTAAAAGGGGTTCCCTACCCACCCCACCCTAGCCAGTGCCTTTTCATGCTTTGGAGGAAGAAGTAAGGAATTTAAAGAAACCCAGGCTAACATCAGGGTTGGTGTTAATGTCCCTGTCTCAATTCTCCTGAGGCCGGGTCTCTGCGTTCTTCAGTGGGCTTTGCTATTCAGGGATTGGAGGCCTTAGACATTTTAGAAGAATTTTTAACAGTAAGTCTGAATTAAGAAATTAGCAGGCCTTTGTCACTGATTCCTAACTCATAAGATTAAACTACCTGGAACCACATTCATCCCCCTGTCCAGCCAGCCGTTGACTAATCATGTATCAAGCATTTATTTCATGCCTGGCACTGTGATTACTTTTGCTGCAAGAATAAGAATCCCTGTCTTTGAAATCCGAGTCTATGGAGGATTTCTGTCTGCAGTATGTTGTGGGTGCGCACAGCCCCGTGCTCTGTGGCAGGGACCTGCACATGTCAGAAGACAGGCAGATAAGGTGCTGGTGCAGTTTTAAGGAGAGGGAAGTTGTGTTTCATTGGGAGGGTCCCTGGAAAGGTAATCGGGTATAAATAAGAGAGTTGACATTGGAGCTGTGCTTCGACCTTAGAGATTTGTGTGTATGAGTTTCAACTAAAACAAATGTATGAATTAGTGACAGATATTTAGTGGCCTAAGCAAAAATTGAGTGAGTGGCTTGAATAAGTGAATAGGTGTGGAGCTGGCCTCTGGCCTAACCTTATTAGATAGTGAAATTGTGTCACCAGGACCAATGTTCTTTGTAGTTTGTATGACCTGGCTTTCCTCCAGGTCGGTTCCATGCATGGAACAGCTTCTCCCTCTTGGCTGCCAGATGATTGCAGCAGCTCCAAAGGTTACACACCCTCATCCTCAAGTCCAGTGTCAGAGAGTGAGACTCTTTTCCCCACGGGTTGAAAATAGGGAGTATGGGGCTTCCTAAAGGGGAAGTCCAATTTTCTGAATGGTGTAAAAAGAAGGAAGAATGTGTCCTTCATGTGTCTTGGCAAAATGAACAGCAACCACTGCAAGCGAAAGCAAAGAAAAGCAAAGATTCCAGATTTGTGTAACACGATGGAGCAGGAACAGGCCTGATGCCACGAGCCTCAAGTGAAGCCCCCTGGCCCCTTGGTGCCTGGCAGCCGCTTTCCAATAGGAAGCTTCCCTTTCCCGGTGTGGTCCGAGCGTGGGATATATCTGGCTGGATTCAACCTCTCGTTAACACGATAGATCACTTTCCTACCTTTTGAGGTGTTTCTCCCATAGGATGATCCTTAAGTCCCACGGCCTCCTGTAAGATTGTTGAGGAAGAGAGAACTAATTCCCTTGTATAAATGGGGCAAGAGGCCAGAACATTGAGGAGAGCTAACCCAAATGGGAGAGCTAGCCTGCCTGAGTCAGGGCACGCAGGATGCAGGGTTTCCTGACTGCAGCCTGTGCTCCTTCCCTGCTGTGCCGGCCTCTGCACTCAGGCACTCAGCTAACCACTGGGTCCACTGGCAAAAACGGATTCTGTAAGTCGCTTGTTTCCCTTAGAACTAGATGATCAAAAGGAAGCATGCTACTTAACCAATGTTAAAATTTAATTTTCCTTGACTTTACTGGAAGGAGAAGGAACTGAAGTAAAATTGGATATGCTGAGCTTCAAAGAACTATTTCTTCATCCTAAAATATTTGCCTGAAAGAGCTCTCTAAGATCAAGCAAAACAATTGCTAAGACATTAGGGGGTAGCAGGCATTATAGTTTGGTTTTGATGAAACGCTTCTATCTTAGACAGAAGTGACTGAGCCTTTGCTGTGAAGGTCAGCATGGTCCCCCTCCCATGTACTGGGTCCTTGCCACAGTGGCTCCAGTAGACAGCACTGGTCCTTTTACTTTGACATCCCATTTCATGAACTTTTCCTTTTGATTCAGCTCTTGGTTGGATGGATGTCGTCAATCAGCAGGGGTTTTTTTTTCCCAGAAGGACAACTGTGTCCTGGATTCCTAGAATCTTCCTGGTGTCGAGGATGTTCGTTGGCTACTCGGGTCCTTGAATGAAATCTTGGCTGAGTGCACCGGTACACCTGGGTCACTCTCTTTCGTTTAGAACTTCGTAGACTTGGCTGCATTGTCTCCCAGTAGCAAGTGTTCATGAGGAAAGGTCTGAGGCACAGTTTATTTGTTAATACCTTTTCTGTCTCGATGACTAAAGATATTTTTCATTCTTTATTAGTAAGTTTATTAATTTAACCACATTATTCATTTCATTGACTTTTTTTTCACTATTTGTCTGAAGGAGACTGGCAGCATTACTATGTAGTTATACTGCTAATTAACCTTCAACTACTTGTATAGCACATAAGAACACTGCTCACATATATGAGAAAGCAGTCAGTGACACTTGCTTACATCACTCTTCCAATGTTTCTGTTCTAGCTCTATTACTATTAGTGTTACAATTTTTAACTTATTTTTAGGTTTTTTTAAGATTACTAATCTTGACAGTATTACTACAATTTGGAGGAACTTAACTAATGACTATTGAATGAATAACAAAGATCCAAAACATGGTATACATTCAAAGCTACATAAAATCATTGTATGCACATTTTTATAAAAGTACTTGAGAATATCAAAATTTTTGATGTCATATAGGATTCCCTGTGTTTATGTTACCGGGTTCTGTTAGCATTTATTCTGTTATTAACTTGAGTCCTGCTGGTGTGGCTCAGTGTATTGAATGCCAGCCTGCAAGCCAAAGGGTTCGATTCCCAGTTGGGGCACATGCCTGGCTTTGCTGGGTTGCAGGCCCCGTCCCAAGTAGGGGGCACGTGAGAGGCAGGCACACACTGATGTTTCTCTCTGTGTCTTTCTTCCTTCCTCTTTCTAAAAATAAATAAAATCTTTAAAAAAGAAACCTGAGTCATTTAATTTTCTAACAGATTTCTGCTTTGGCATATTTTATAATTTGGATTTATCCTGCCAAAGCTGTTAAAGTCAGTGGAGTATTTTGAGATTGGTATGACTAAATAGAAGAACTGCCTGATTATACCATGTTACTTAACTCATATAGTGTTAAATTATTGTTACCCTAATTATCAAATATCATTTTTTCTTATTTATGTCTTTAATCAATTATTTTAGCTATTTCCATTTCTTTCCATTTCATTTTCTGAAATTAGATCAGATTCAAATAGCTTGATAATCACTATACTCATCTATGTGATAAATTTCATCATATTGTCTTATAACATTTACTGGCTTGTAAATTCATGTTGCATTAGTGTTTGCTAATATTCGATACTATATAATTGTAGTGCATTATTATAAAATCAATAAATTTTCCTGAGTGCCCTAACTATTCCAAAAATTGAATCTCCGTTATGAACATATAATTTATATGATACTTTAAAAATGTTTTGCCCTTCATTCTCTTCCGACTGTACTTCCTAGGGGCACCGTTACAGTCATCTCGGCGTATGACAATAATCACATTTCAGAAATAGCATCTCAGTGTCTCTGGGAAGGGTTGACTGGGGAGACCAGAGGCAGGAAGGTCTGTTAGGGGACGGCACCACAGGAAATAAGCCATGACCGGGGCAAAAACAAAGAGAGTAGCCATGGGAACCAATTTAGGAACCAGGGTTCTGCTTTAATCATCTTTATATCTTAGCTCCATGCCTGCACACAGCTGGTACTCAGCAATTTTGGGGTTGTTGTTTTTTTGGAAATGAAGATAGAATCAACAAGGCAGTGATGAATTATTGTTGAAGCAGTAGAGGACTGGGAGGAATCTAGAATTCCCCTTGGTCTCTGGCTTGAGTGGCCTTTGAATTTTAGGTAGCGCCATTCACTGCCGTAAAGAGGGCAGTAGCATCAGGCACCCACACAGCAGTGCTCCTGCTACCTATTGAATGAGTGATGTGACCCAACAGGACATTATGTACCGTGGATATGCCAGCCCTTTGTCCTGGGAGCAGGGACCCACGCAGAAGATTGGGGAAGGAAAAAAAGTACAAACTTTCTCTTCTTCATTCTTAGGTGTGAGGCCAGTGTAAGATAATAGTGTGAAACAGACAAGGCTTCCTCCTCTCACCTTTCCTTGCTGCTTTTTTAAACTGGTATCATAACTAATATCTCCAGTATCTTCCTCTCTGCACCCTCAGGTTGTCCCATATCAGCCACCTTCTTCTCAACCAGTGAATATTTGGAAGAGGAGGAGGCCATAGGAATAATGCTTTCATTCTCTGTAAGTGTCCCAGACTCTACAGAATTACCCATCTCCTCTCCTGGCTTCAGAAATCTTGTTTCCTCCACTGTGTTGCCCAGGGGAAAGCAGGAAGCCAGTCTGAGTTACATTCATACTATTGTGTAAATGACTGATGGGTCCCTTTAAATGCCTTCCAGTTAACTATTTCAGTTTCCTGAAGAAGGCTACTCCACCAAAGGGAGAGCTCCCAGCCCATTCTTGTGGGGGTGGTGGAGAAGTTGAGTGGAGAGTTTTTCAGCTGCCCTTCAGGCAAGCCAGGCCCTGCCCTGGAGTCCTGTTCTATGGTTAGCTGTCCTCCGTGGGTCCTGTTTTCACGGGATTTCTACGTGTCTGAGGTACCCTGTTTTCTAGGACAACAGAAGTGGAATGCTGCTCTCATCCCAGCAGGAGGTATGGCTAGGCTGGGGTGGCTTACCCCTACTAGGAAGAGACAGCTCAGAGACCACGCTTAGTGGTGATGTTTCCTTACTGTCTGAGGTTGAGATGTCCACCCAGCCACAGCTGGGCTACCCATGCGTATGTGGGTAATTGATACCCCTCTTCCGTGATGGCTCCAGAACGTACACTGTGTACCTGGCACCATGCCAATCTCTGCACACATACCAGCCCATCTTGTTCTTGCAGCACTCTATGACAGAGACATTCTTATCCCCATTTTATAGATGGGTGAATTAAGATACAAAGAAAGAAAGTAACTTACTCAAGGGATCATAGCTAGGACTCAGAGAACCCAGAGTCAGGCCCAAGTTTGTGTTTCACCAGAACTCATACCTTTTCTGCTGACAGGTGGGTTCTGGCATGATGTTTTAGACAGAGGCAACTTTAGGATGGGAAGATTGAGAACCCAGGAAACATGTCAGGGCTTCAAGTAAAATATTAACTAGTAAATTCACTGAACAGTCATAAAGGGGGTAAGTGAAACAGTACATCTCACAGAAGAGGACAAAGAACTATGTGGGAATTGCTAAATGGATGTTCTTTAAGGGCTCCCCATTGGCTTTTATTTAAAATCCAAATTCCTTTGCTTGAAACTTTTTATGGAAACTTTGGAAAATCTAAATAGGATAAAAAGGGGAGGGAAAAAGAGAAAGGTAACTCTTATCAATATAGACATTTTCTTTTCCTTCCTGCTGTCTCTGTAGTCATCTGAGACAAAATGGACAACACCTAGGTGTTGTCCCATAATTTCCTTTTCTTTTCTTTTAATACATTTTATTGATTATGCTATTACAGTTGTCCTGTTTTCCCCCCTTCACTCCCCTCTGCCCTGCACACCCCCTCACCCACATTCCCCGCCTTTAGTTCATGATCACGAGTTGTATATATAAGTTCTTTAGCTCCTACATTTCCTATACTATTCTTGCCCTCCCCCCTATCTATTTTCTACCTACCATTTATGCTACTTATTCTCTGTACCTTTTCCCCACTTGTCTTCCTCCCACTCTCCTGTTGTTAACGCTCCATGTGATCTCCATTTCTGTGGTTCTGTTCCTGTTCTAGTTATTTGCTTAGTTTGCTTTTGTTTTTCTTTTAGGTGTGGTTGTTAATAACTGTGAGTTTGCTATCCTTTTACTGTTCATATTTTTATCTTCTTTTTCTTAGATAAGTCCCTTTAACATTTCATATAATAAGGGCTTGGTGATGATGAAATTCCTTGAACTTGACCTTATCTGAGAAGCACTTTATTGGCCCTTCCATTCTAAATGAGAGCTTTGCTGTATAGAGCAATTTTGGATGTAGGTCTTTGGATTTCATGACTTGGAATACTTCTTTCCAGCCCCTTCTTGCCTGTGAGGTCTCATTTGAGAAATCAGCTGACAGTCTGATGGAAACTCCTTTGTAGGTAACTGTCTTTTTTTCTCTTGCTGCTTTTAAGATTCTCTCCTTATCTTTTATCTTGGGTAATGCAATTATGATGTACTTGGTGTGTTCCTTCTTGGGTCCAACTTCTTTGGGACTCTGAGCTTCCTGGATTTCCTAGAAGTCTTTCCTTTGCCAGATTGAGGAAGTTCTCCTTTATTATTTGTTCGAAAACTTTTTTACTTGCTCTTCCTCTTCCCCTTCTGGTACCCCTATAATTTGGATGTTGGAATATTTAAAGATGTTCTGGATGTTCCTAAACCTCTCCTCATTTTTTTTTTTTTGAATTCTTGTTTCTTCATTCTTTTCTGGTTGGATGTTTCTTTCTTCCTTCAGGTCCACTCCATTGATTTGAGTCCCAGTTTCTTTCCCATCACTGTTGGTTCCCTGTACATTTGCCTTTATTTAGCATAGTGTTCATTTTTTTCATCTAGTTTATGACCAAATTCAACCAATTCTGTGAGCATCCTGATCGCCAGTGTTTTGAACTGTGCATCTGGTAGGTTGGCTATCTCTTTGTCGCTTAGTTGTATTTTTTCTGGAACTTTGATCTATTCTTTCATTTGTATCATTTTTCTTTGTCTTGACATGCCTGTTATGTAGTGAGAGGCAGAGCCTTAGGTGTTCACCAGGGCAGGGCAACCCACATGGCTGGGTTGTGATGCTGTATGTGGGGCAGGGGTCCGAGAAGGAACAATGGCGCTTGCTGCACTCGCTGCCGATTTCAGTCACTTCCCCCGCTTCCCACAGGCAAATTAGACTCTTCTGGTGCTGGTTCCTGGGTGGGCTGGTTTGTGTACATTCTAGGACCCTGTGGGTCTCTCCAACGAACTCTCCTGTGAGGCTGGGAGTTCCTCCCGGCACCTCAGTCCCCACAGGTGTTTTCAATCAGAGGTTTGAGGCTTTATTTCCCGGCGCTGGAACTCTGGGTTGTGCATTCTGTCCTGCTCCCCAGTTGTTTCTCCCAGTTTATCTGCACCTGAATGTGGGACCTCCCTGTCTGCAATCCGCCACCTTGCCAGGTACCCGCTGCTGCCTTGCCGGCCAACCGCAGCCTTGCACGCTGCGCCCCACTCCACAATCTGCCACCTCACTGGGTGTGCCAGCTGCCACCTTGCCATGAGTCCTCTCTGCCCGGCTGCCTCTTTTCCCCCTCCTACTGGTCTGGGTGAATGTGTCTTCTTTAACTCCTTGGTTGTTGGACTTCCATACAGTTCGATTTTCTGTCAGTTTTGGTTGCTTTTTGTTTGTAAATTGTTGTCTTTTTTTTGGCTGTG